GTTGTCACCTCTTGTTTCCTGGAGTTAATTTCACCTCCAACGAAAAATATGGAGGCAGTCCCTGGTTTGGAACCTAACATTCCCCTCTTAGGTGAGTATCTGTAGCACTGAATATGTTTAAGGTATACCTACTCTGAAACATACAGAAAAAGTCCCTCTACTTGTGCTGTATGCTAGATCTCGGTTAACTGGTCTATCCTCTCTGCTCTGTTAGTTTATTCTTTCTAACACTGAGTTCGGGGAAGTTCAAGATAGAGGGAACTCAGTTCACACCCACCTCCACATTGTAAATGAAAAACATGATAATGAATTCTACAGAAAACAACAGAAGGATAGAAAATCTACCCTACATAATAAGAAAAAAAGGATCCAGCAAGCAGGGAAGACATTCATGGTGTGTTTCCAGTTCCTTCAAGTTAATATTTCTTATTTCCGCACTTAAGTTAGTAACTAGCTGTTTGAATGATCTTCACAAAAAGTTATTCCATCATCACCCGGTTATCTGTATTGGACACACTCATCCAGTCTGCCAAAGAACTAAGCTTTCAAATACAACTGAAATGACCTGTAAAAAGTCCCATCAAAGCTGAATACAATTGTTTCCAAAATCATAAGGGAAACAGAAATCATGTTATAGTGGGTCAGTGGTGTAGGTGCTGAACTGAATCAGGTTTATAGCATTCAGATACTTTTGCTTCCTAGTCATAGATAGTAATCATCTCCCACTGAGGCCAGTATTCAGTGGGGAAAAAAATTGCTGCAGCAGCATCCTGAAGCCATTTAAATGGGGTTGGCAACAGGTGTTTTGAGGGCTGTCCTTTAAAAAAGGCAAGTTTCTAATGATCATCTAGAGAAAAATATTTTGGAAATGCTTGTTTAAATATCAAAACATCTAATTCCCCTAAATGAAAAAGTCCCCTGATGGTTACTAAATTAATTTCTGTTGTGTGTTTTTTCCTTTGAATAGATGTTCCGTGTTTCATCAATTATGTTTCTCTTACAGGTTACTACTAGTAACATAGGACATCTTTACAAAATACGCATAGGACACACAAATACAGGAAAGTCCCCTGCCTGGCACTGTGAAGAGGTAAAAGCAGTGAGAAAGAATTTTATCTTTGCAAAAGCAGGCACTATGTCAGTAAAGTCAAAACACAAGCCAGAAAAAATCCCTGGGATAAGTGTATTAGCCTCATCAAATGCTTACATTTATGAGATTATTTACAAAGGGATGTTTTTTTACAGAATTAAAGGTAGTTTATGATGGTATGTCTTGGCTGGTTTTTTACAGTTTGGTGAGAGCCATACATTACGTTTCCTTAAAAATGTGTGGCTGGCCAGCAAGAAAGATTGCTTAAGCTGGCTGATGTGGTCCGAGTCTTCTACAGTCTTTGTATGCTACAGAGTGTTTAGAGTTTGCTGAAATCCAGTGTCCTGGTTTGAGAGCACCTGCATAGAAGTTCTCTGGGGCTCCTGGCCCAGGGGGCAATCACAGTGGAGGAGAGGGGGCAGCTGTGCCCATGGGGAGGAGAGGATGGTTCAGGTGACTCAAATGGATCAATAACGGTATTCCATCCCATGGTGCTCAGTATATACGAGCCCCTAAGGAAAGCCTTCATGCTTTTAGTGCTTTTGATGTTGGGACGGTTGCTTTTGGTAGTCTTGCCCCCCTGTTTTCACGCTGCAGAGGAGCACCTTCGATAAAATAGCTTGTCTTTCCTTGCCACACCATGCCAGGTGGGAACACCACAGCTTTTTTTTTTCTTTTTCTTTTTTTTTTTCTTTTGATTATCATCGGGACTCTGGGCTCAGGCACTTATGTCTGTTGTGAGTCCAGTCTGGGACTTTTTGTTCTGCTTGGGACCTTGTTGTCATCTGGAATGTATTAAGATATTTTCTTGTATCTTTGAATATATTTGCATACTATATTTGTATATAATTCAACACCTTTGTTGTTATACTAAGTGTTATGTTCTTTTTCATTATATTGGTTCAAATTTGTTTTTGACCTCAAAGTCCCTCTCTGGTTCCACTGTTATCCTCCCCTGGGACTGTGGAAGGGGGATCACAGAGAATGTCTGTCAAAGCTTAGTGGCTGGCCCAGCCTCAAACTTCAACACCCAGAAAGTCATTAAACTCGGTCTAGCCAAGTCCTTGTTAAAACTATGGCTGATGCTGTATCCTTACACATAACACCAGAGCTGCATTTTAAATGTTTCTAATTATGTGGCTCTGAGGAGAAAAACACAATAACGGGTTCTTTTCCCTTCCTGTGTAAAAAAAAAAAAAAATAAAAAAAAATCTCAATGCAGGTAAAGCAAAGATAATACAGCAAAAAAAAAAATCAGCTAACTCTGTTTCAAGCTTCAGTCATGAAGCACAGTATATATGTTTCTGCACTGCGAATGAAAGGGTCTGGCTTTTATCCTCACAGCAGTGATGTACTACGCGTGCCTGTGATACGCAATGCATGTTTGAAACACTTCCTTCTTTGTGCCAGAGTTTCTTAGCCTCCCGTTAAGAGAGAGCAGTTTATGAAGGGCTTTACAAACTCAGGTAAATTCGTTGCTATAATTGTACTTCAGATTAAATCTAGCTCTAGCTAGGTTTCTAGCCAAGGCATGTCTACATTGAAATATTGTGTCACTGGCAACATCACCCTGTTTAAGAGATTTCATGCTAGAATTATAGGGGTTTTATCTCTCAATTCAGCTGACGATTGCCTGATTATAAAGTCTTAGGTATTTGTTTCCCAGCTGTGCTGTGTGTTGGGGAATATGGGAGTTAAATTATAATTTAAGATACTTTTTGCTCTTCTGTTCCTTACTAATTTTTTTTTCATAAATGTGTGTGTGGAAGAAGTGAAAGGTTGAAAAATACCATATAGTTTTGTCCTGTGAGACAGAGGGACAGGTTACCAGCAATTTCTAAAAAGTGTATCTGAGTTGAGAAGCTAGGAGAGAACAGCGGGTTTTCTCTTGTAGAGAAGGTTTGTTTTTATGCTTAATCTCAGTATTAGAAGTTTTGGCTATCCTAAAATCTGACTCAACAAAAGGATCTTTGTGCATTTGATGTACACCATCCTCTGTGATAAGAAGCTCCACTGCCTGCTCTACAGGTTGCTTATGCAAACTGAGATACTAAAGAAGTCTGACAAAAAAGGGAAAGAAAAAAGGAGAAGTTATTTCCCTTCTCACTTCCCAGGTAGGATATATTTAATGAAATAATCAGTAAAATTTTAAAAGAAAAATTTCACACTTCAATTCATTCAATTGACTTTTGGCTTACAAATTTTGTTTTTTTTTCTCCTTACCAAATCTCAGTCCATCAGGCACAGTTTAAAGGCGGTGATTCATCAGCCAGGGTTAGGTCATTCCCTCTTTGCAACTTTGGGCATAAAGGCAAGGAAAAGAAATATGTTCAACCAAACACACAGAATCACAGAATCTTGGGGACTGGAAGGGCCCTCGTAAGATCATCTAGTCCAACCCCCCCGCCAGAGCAGGAACACCTAGACGATGTTACACAGGAAGGCATCCAGGCGGGTTTTGAATGTCTCCAGAGAAGGAGACTCCACCAGCTCCCTGGGCAGCCTGTGCCAGTGCTCTGTCACCCTTACTGAGAAGTTTCTTCCCAAATTTAGGTGAAACCTCTTGTGTTCCAGTTTAAACCCATTACCCCTTGTCCTACCATTGGTTGTCACCGAGAAGAGCCTTGCTCCATCCTTGTGACACTCACCCGTTACATACTTATAAACATTAATTAGGTCACCCCTCAGTCTCCTCTTCTCAACGCACTACAAGTACCCTAATGTATTGTATCCTAGAGAGCCAAGGGAGTATAGCCACTGATTTCTAGATGTCATAGATGTACAACCTACAGAGTGCTGGTCAGACACTTAAAGTCATTGGTCCTTGGGAAACCTAAGTTTTTCTGGAATTTTTTTTTAAGAGTGTTCTGGAACTGTAGAGCTTTTCTGGAAGATAGGCATGCTAGTCCTCCATCAGTATTATGTGATTTCTGTGGCTGTCTCTGTACCGAGGTGATGCAAATGACCCCATGGTGCTGCTTTGCTAACTCCAAGATTCCACTTCAAGATCAGCAGATGTTGACAGGCCAAGATGCGTCAGGATTTTTTCAGACAAGATAAATCTCTTTCTTTGAAGTTTAGTGTTCAGACTAAAAATTGGTGAAAGTGATAAAAATGTTTAAACTTTCTGAATTTGTTCAATACTCTAAGTAAGGAGATGAGATTTTTGCAAAGCACAGAGCAGGAGTGAAGTTATAGGTAAGAGCATCTTTGCTTCTCTCTGCTGGTCCGAAATCCAGTGTGGTTACTAGTATAAATTAGTGTAATTAGGGACTATTCTAATATATTGCAACCTCTGAGGTGCTTAATAAGGAGTACTTTGAAGTACAAAATAATTAGAGCTCCTTCCTTTACCTGGTGTACGTATGGTCCTTTTTCTTTTATATACTAAAAGATGAGCATGGAAGAAAATCATGTGGGGCAGACTGGTGTTGAGGCTAGCATTTTCATGGTTTATTATGTTTATAAGCAGTACTGAAGAATCAGAACCTGTTTATTTAATTCCTATTCTGTTACAGAACTAAGTTAAAGGAATAGAGTTGGCAAGCACTGCCAGGGTTCTTAGTGAGAACTTCTGTGTTTGGTAAGCCATGCCACCTAGTGCCAGCCCACATGGATCTCCCTGCTGGAATGACATGGCTACATTTTGTGGGACTGCGTTTGAGCTAATAAACCATTTTTTCTTGGCTGCACTGGAGTTACTTTGCCCTGCGCTTTTGAACGTGGTTGAATGCAAAGTCAGATTGGAGGCAGTTGTACCTGGGAAGCGGACATGCCCCGAACCCGTGGTTTTGTGATCATGTCACAGAGCTTTGCTTGCACAGATTTCAACAGCATCCCCCACAGTTTGTTTTCTGGTCTACATGATCCAAGATCAGCAACTTAAATTGCAATTCTTGTTGCTGTTTAGGTGCGGTTGCTGAACTTCTTCTCAGGGGAGGAATTTTCTTTCCCTGCACATCGGTGGCTGGCCTGGGACCAGGCTGATGGGGAAATATCTATGGAGCTTCCTGTTTTACTGCAGGGTCAGCCTATTCTTCCAGGTAAGCACAATACCATGTCAGCTAATGTGTGGCCACAGACTGGTACCGATACAGGTGAGTTTGCTGTTTCTCGTCACACCCTCTATTACTTTTGGCTATTACAACACTCTTTTTGTGTTGTTTTACTGTGATTACTGATCTTACTTGGATATGATCTAAAAGAGTGGTGAAGCATTGGAACAGGCTGCTCAGGCAAGTGGTGGAGTCGCCATCCCTGGAGGTGTTAAAAAAATATGTAGCCTTGGCACTTAGGGACATGGTTTAGTGGTCAGGGTGGTGTTGGGTTGGTGGTTGGGCTTGATGGTCTAGAGGCCTTTTCAAGCCTTAACGAGTCTATGAGAAGGTTAAGAATCGCTAGAAAGGAGATGGGAGAGTCTTTAATGCTTTGAACCTCATAGATCCTTCAAAAAGAGTCTTTCTTTGGTGATATTTTCAACATTTATGTTTCCTATAGAGTAGAGGTTACAGTAAAGGCACCTCATATGCATAACTGCCTTGAAGCTATCATATCTGAGTTAGGCCACAAACTCTGTTTTCAGTAACTGAGGATTATAGAGCCAGTATGACTATTGTAGCTGCTGTTTTAGTTTTTCTTGCAAGTGACATGCTTCTGGAATGCTTTTAATTTACTTGGTGTGGAACAAAATTTTTGCGATATTTCAGAAGACTCTAAGTATTAAAAGCCCCATTACTCACATAAAGATTGTATTTTAATTCTAAAGGTGAACAATGGCAAAGGATACAAAAATTATTGGATGTTGCTGCTGTTACATTGCTTTAATGTCCTATCACATCAATCCTTATCACCCATGCTGGATGTTGCTCTACGTTCTCTCTGTTTCAGCAGTGGGAGGGGGGTGGAAAGATTATGCTTGTTCTTCTTTTCTCTCCAGATGGTGTTGCTCTCTTCTGGCCTAAGGCAAATAAAAGGCCATAGCCAGATCAGTATATCCTAGAAGAGATGTGGCTTGAGGAAGCAAGAATTGTAGGGCAGATTCCCATCCTGTAGGGTGTGGTGGTAAAGGGGGAAAAGTCATAACACCACTGGTATTACTTGTGCTGGAGCTTTCACTAGAATAAGATCCACCTGGGACAGATTCTTCACCCTCCTCTCTTCTCTTTCCTCCCAAATCATATTAACTTCACAGGACAAGATGTATGAGATGAGAGAAATTTCCATTCAAACCTCTCTAAAAGCTACAGAATCCCCTTTTCAGAATGTTTACTACTATAGCAATACTTGGTGATATGCCTGTGGTACTTTGTGTTGATCTTGTAAAACTGAAATGGTAACAGGCATTTTGGTGGTAATAGCTGTTGTGGGTGCAGGCTAGAGGAAGAGAATACAAATGAAATTGAGGGTCAGAAACCCAGAAAATGGCCCATTGATGTGGAGAAACATACTATGGGGCAGTTACTCTCATAATAAAGAGCTGAGTGGCCTGGAGCCATATTTAAGGCTATCTACAATGACTGAGCACTTAGATAAGAGCTGAAAAGAAAAGCAGAAAAGCAGGTTTGTGCCTCATTAATATGTATTTAAGCGAAAAAGACTAGCGGTAGAGGTTTCCTCCAGTGATGTATTTGGAAGCTGTAAATGGCTCATAAAATGCTGTAGAGAGAAGGTGGCCAGTCCCAACTAGTGGTTATGATCTTCATATCCTTGAAGGCATAAAAAGCCTCAGAAGCAGTAAGTTTGCTTCCTTACAAGTTTGGACTCTGCTCAGGAGATTTAAATATTATCAGTGTAGAGGGACATACTAGCACATTAGTATAAAACCCAAACACCCTCCCTTTAAATAAATGTTAACGTTCCAATGCCCTACTTGCAGTAGCGGGGTTGAAACTAGATGATCTTTAAGGTCCCTTCCAACTCAAAGCATTATATGATTCTATCTGTTCTTCCTCAAACGTTCTCTTGCTTAATATTCTGGGACTCTGTCCTAACCCACCTGCTAATTTTCAGGCTCTTCCTTTCCTAGTGGGTTATTTCCTTGTTTCTGAGATAAAGATACAATGGAAGATTTTTCTTTATCAAGTTTATTTATGGAGTAGTTCTGGTTCAACAGCACACTTAAAGCATCCTCAGTCTGCATTTTTGTAGTTAACTATTTCTGCTTCACACAACAGAGGAAGAAAAGAACTGTACATTTCTGCCAGCCTCAGTGTAAGAGGGGTCATGCTGAAGGCTTCGGAAAAGGCAGTTTCATCTCTAACTTAATAATTGAAAGACAACCTCCGTGTCTTTTTGCCAATATTATATTTCTGCATGACATAGTGAAAAGAGAACACAGCTTTTTAACTTCAGAGAAGATAGTTTGATAACAGAAGAGTGGAGAGGTCTGGATTCAATCTGAAAGAGAGATGATGAGAGCCTCTTTAAAACCAGTTTCTGAATAAAAAGAGGCTGAAACATTTTCTGATTTAAAAGCCTTTTTTTATTCAAAGAAAAATGTCCAAATTAAACTGTTATGAAGTATTACATAGAGACTTTGTGGCTCTAACGCTGGGGGACAGAGCAGCATTTGTTTGACCTTTTTATCCTTAACCATCCTACTTCTATCTCCTCCTGTTTTATGACACAATCTTTAATTTTATGATGATGAACTACTTGCAGGGGATAAATCAGAGTTACACAGTGTTTGGCGGCTGGTGGACCTTTACTTTTATTTTTGCAGAAACTAGAATGTAGGTAATGAAGGGAATTGTAGGAATAAAGAGGATTGTTGTGGTCTTAGACATAGGATTGTTGGTCGGGAGAAATGAACTCTTCTTCTGTAGTCTGTTTGTGGGAGGCCTGTTTGTGTGGGTGCTGTAGAGAAAAATTTGGGAATTAAATAGATCAACTGGTGATATGGTAATTGTTATAGTTAAAATATGGTATTAATTAATATTTACTAAATGAAAATTATTTTGAGTGTTGAGACAAGTGTACACTGGGAAAAATTAGCACATGCATATGCTGCTAACCAAAGACTGACAAAAACTTCTGCACCACAAATGTGTCTGGCTTTTGTCCAAAATGATAATGGCTGATCTGAGAAAAGATATGTTTTACCTCCTTGTTCTAGCTCTCGTAATTCATAGACATAGAGGGAAGAATTAAATTTTGTAAATATTCTTAACTCTCTACTTTCTAATTTCAGGATCACGTGATTACTAATGTAAGGTTCTACACTTGCAGACAAAAATAGGTGTAAAGAATACAGTTCCTTCTCTTAACATCTGTACTGAGCACTTTTCCATTGAATATCTCAAGTTGGAAGTGACCTAAAAGGATCATCAAGTCCAACTCTCTGCTTCTTGCAGGGCTACCTTAAACTAAACCATATGTCTAAGGTCATTATCCAGACGCTCCTTGAGCTCTGACAGGCTTGGTGCTGTGACCACTTCCCTGGGGAGTTTGTTCCAGTGACCAACCACCCTCTGAGAGCAGAACCTTTTCCTAATGTCCAATCTGAGCTTTCCCTGATTCAACTTCATTCTGCTAGGAGAGTCACTATTTCGAGCATAAAAGCTGTAAGCATTATATTCATAAATACTTACTATAAAGCTAGGATGATCCCTAGGCTTATGAGAGGTAAAGAGAAGTGTAAAAAAAAATGTGGTAATTGCTTGAATTTTTAAGTTGGTTATTTTAAGCCTCTGTGCTGGATTTATTAATAGCATATGTCTACGGTACAATACTTCCATGGAGTTTAGAGGTATCCAGTCATCATCTCAAAATGAGTTAACTCTGATGCTAGAAGCAAACTAGCACTATCATTCTGCGTGGGCACATTAAAATAACCTGCAGAGAGTGCTTATTCTTTTAGCTAGATTGCTACTATTATCCAAACCGAATTCTTTAAAGACAGCCTATATAGTAACCTGCATGCAAATGCCATGTAAATAAATGTGAGATAATCATAAAAAATAAGCATCAAGGGAAAAATTGTAAACACTGAACAGCCACTTTGCACAATTGCAGATATGGACTGATCCTGAATATTTTTCACTGGTTACTAAAAGTAGATGTTTGTCTGTCAGAAGAGTGAGATGTGAGAGCAACCTCCTTCAGAGAATTACAGTCAAGCTTCATGACGTATTTCAAAAGGAAAGCTGATAACTGAATGATAATAATGTTGATGTTCTGGACCCAATGGCCCAGAAACTTTTTTCTGCTTGCAAGACAGAAGTACAAGGATGCCTACAGCTGAAATATGAGCTAGTGTGCCAGAAGATTAGTTTTTCTCTCTCCCTTTCATTCTCCATGTACCTCACTTGGTCTAACAAAATATCTTTAATATATATTGTTGTAAATTTTGCCTTTTCCATATTTCTACTGCAGATTATAATAGCAAGTTTTCCTCTTAAATCTGAAATTTATGGGATGCCTACATCTGCATTTTGATGACCACATTTTTCTATCGATACATATTTTTTGTGTATCATAGTCTATATTCCAATTTAATTGGATTTTAACTCAAATTTTCTTTCATTTGCATTATCTATTTCTATTAAATAACGAGTTTTTTGAAGTCCTAGTTTTTCCACCCAAATTCACAGCCTTTCAATAATTTCCATATGGAATATGAGAATGTCTATACTATCACATGAATCATTAGATTCTAGGTAGATAACTGTCAGTAGATATCTAGGTCCTAGGTCCAGATTTTTGCTCATTTGGTTAACCAGTGCATAAAAAATGTTAATGGCTCCTGTTGCTTGATATAGTTTTGATATCATCACTTATGGCGAGTCTAAACTTGGATATACGTTATTTGCTTTACAGTTTTATGATGATTTCGGATGATGCTGCAGGACAAAGACACAACAGTGTGTATTTGAAGTTCAGTTCTGTTTGCATTCTCCATAGTGACAGTCTGGGATAAAAAGCATAAATGTAACACCAAAGCCAGTTTGTACATTATTTTACTTAATATTGAACAGGATTTTTAAGGTTTTATACTCTATCTGTCCTTGACACAGATGCATTTGGACTGTGCGGGCCCATTTGCAGCTAGATGTCTTTGTAGCTGCGGTAGTATTTGTGATATAAAAGGTTGTCGTCTTTTATTGTCAGTGACTGTCTATGAAGTGCATGTGACAACAGGAGAACTGTGGAATGCTGGAACCAATGCTGATGTCTACATTTCTGTTTATGGAGACAGAGGTGATACAGGATCAAGACAGCTGCTCAGGTCACAGAAACCCAAGAAATTTTTAAGAGGACAAGTAAGTGAAAACCAGGGCATTTTCTGATATGTTTGACTGGCTTTTCTCTCTAAAATTTTCTTCTAAAAATTATAAAATCTGCATTTCCGATGGTAAAAACTGCTGTAATTTGCAATTGTTTAAGCAATTAAACCTTTAGCAGGTTTCTCTTTTCTGACTTTGATCTCATTCATCCAAATGGAACTACTCTGATTAGCAAAGTGATCAAGTTTCTTTTATTTCACTGCAAGAAAGTAATTGAGGTGCTGGAGCAGGTCCAGAGGAGAGCAATGAGGCTGGGGAAGGGACCAGAGGGAAAGTGCTGTGAGGAGAGGCTGAGGAAGAAGAGGACACTCAGGGGGGACCTGATCACTCTCTGTAACTGCCTGAAGGAGGTTGCATCAGGTGGGGTCGGGCTCTTCTCCCGGGCAACCAGTGACAGGACGAGAGGGCACGGCCTGAAACTGCATCAGGGGAGGTTTAGGTTGGATCTCAGGAAGCTCTTCCTCACGGAGAGGGTGCTCAGGCACTGGGATGCACTGCCCAGGGAAGGGGTAGAGTCACCGTCCCTGGAGGTGTTTAAGGAGAGGCTGGATGTGGCATTTAGTGCCCTGGTCTGGCTGATGTGATGGTGTTGGGTCCTAGGCTGGACTTGATGGTCTCAGAGGTCTTTTCCAGCCTCAACAATTCTATGATTCTGTGAAACCTGGTTTGTTCTCACCTTATCATTAGCTGATAATTTGAAGGTTGATCTTGACAGTAGAGTTCTATAGGTTTATGGGTCTTTGTGATTCCACAACTGAAGAATGCTCTGCTTTTTAGATTTTACTGAAATTTTGTTGATTGATTACAGACTGACATCTTTACTCTCGAAGCTGTGCACCTTGGACACTTGTACAAGATTGTTATAGGACACAATGGTCTTGGGTCAGGTCAGAAATCTCTGTCTCTAGTCATTGAATAGTGACTGCAAAGTTATTAATCTTTCTTTTAAAATACAATACATAATTCTAAAACTGAATGTTTGAAAACATTTCAGAATAGAAGTAAAAGCCTTTTAAGGAAACTGTTCATGTGGCTCAGTTACTTCACTGTGCCATCACAAATTTTAAATATTGTGTGTTTACTTTCACCATGCTCTCAATCATTAAGGACACCATCTGCTACTCTGCTGTCATTTTTGACTAATCCATATGGAAAAACTGTAAAGAGGGAGAGTGTCTGCATGATAAGACATTGTCTATGTCTTGGGCAGTTTGTGTTATAGAGAAAATGGACTATTATATTTTTAGGTTGATTAGCATTTTCAGTTACCCTGTAAAGATGCAGTTGGCGACTTTGGCTATGCTATCTTGTCATTAAACACCTAATTAATGGTGAAACCCAGACGGCTCACAGTCCCAAGTCCTGCTTTTCAAACTCTTGATCCTAAATATTGTAAAATATATCAACTTATTTTGAGCTGTGATAAGCTAAGCTGCTATCTAATCTTTTTGACATTTTGATTGGCAAAAAAAATAATTTTTATACAATGACTGTGTTAAATGAGGGGGTGATGTGCAGCCCTGAGAGCCATGAGAGTCAGGGAGGGACTTAGCAGCTTGCAGGCCTAGAGCAGGTCTTCTCTCCAGCCATCAGGACAGCATTGACTAACAACGTGCCTGTGAAGCTGCAGATTTTGCAGCTTCAGAAGAGAAAAAGCCATAGGAAACCAGACTTCATTAAATCTATCTCTCATGAAATAACTTTTTCCAAATTTATTCTAAGGAAACGGCTGGTTTTTGGATAAAGTTGTAATCAAGGATCCTATAACAGATTTGGATTACGCTTTTCTTTGTCACAGGTTGGTGTTGTTTCATTTGAGTTAGATTTTTTTTAATAAATTTGTTATTACTTATAGTCGTTGTTCTGAAATGTCATGTCAGTGGCAATGTGTTTCCCAGAAAGTGGGCTGAAATTGTGTGATTATTTTTTACAGCTTTCTAAGTTGTACCTGCCTCAAATCTACGGTGCATTTCAGCTATAGAGAAAAGCGATAAAAATTTCTGCCTGGGAAATTTCTGTTCTTGTGTCTTGCAGACTATTCAAGACATGGGGTTTTTTTGACACATTCCCCATATCCAAGGCTTTTCAGAAGTTAGTATGGAGATTAACCTGGGGTTCAATGAACTTGGGATTAGACTTCAAGAACTTGTGAAATGGCTATCAGAAGTGAACCTACGTGACTACATCTCTTTCTCAGTTGTCTTGCAGCCTATTGCTGAGCTGCTACATAATTTGAAGCAATCCTAACTTCCCTGACTTTTCCGCTGCAGAAGCTGCTGCCCTGAATCCTCTGTTCTTGTGCTCAGTTCTAATTTTGTCTATGCTTGAATAATTCTCAACACTTTATGGAAAAATTATAATTGATGAAGATGAGTGCAAATATTAGGAATGGTAAAGTCCAGTCACGTACGAATCTAGCTGCAGCTTGCCAGTGGCACCTCCATTCTGTTTTCTCCTCTCACTTCTTGGAGTGAATAAATAACTGCCTGAGACAGCTCAGAGTGAGCAGTGTGGACACTGAAACTGATTTATACGTGAACAAGGGCTTTCTGCCTATCAGATACAGCACCTCATCTTTGCCTGACCTAATTTTGATTCTCTGTTCTAGATGAGACGAACTGCTATGAAGAGATCCATAGTGCTATCTTCATACATAATTTAGGGAGAGTTCAAATCCATTTCAGGCAGAAAAATACAAGATATATGCTAGTTATTGTTAGAGCCTGATGCTATGCTTGCTGATCCTGCTCCCATAGGATATGAATCTTTTTGAATCAAATGGAGTTAGACTTAACTTATGTAAGTAGATGTGAAGTAGGTACAATGACATTGTAAAAGTATAGTTGAGACATGGTAAACTTGTTGCCTGTGTTGGATTTGCTTCCCGGTGTAGGGATTTTTCAGGGCATGGAACAATTTGCATCCTTCTGTAGCCTTCCTGCAGATAGCAAAAGCAAACATCATGACCACTGCACCTTTTGTTATTGATCTAGGATCAATATGAGTTCTCTGATTTGTAGTAATTGGCTTAGGCCAGCTCCTTGCACTTCATATCAGCAAAGCCTTTACTTATGAGTTTCATCAAGCACAAAAGAATTTTTGCCAAAGCCAATCTCTTTTCACTAAAGCTGGATTTCTGTATTGCTGTTTGTCAGCCTCAAGACTTTAATAAATAGAACTTGAGGTATCGGTATGCGAGTGTCACGTATACAATATTGTGGGAGTTGCCAGTCAAGGCCATATTACTGAAGTAGATTCTGATTTTTAGGTGGCTGGACCAGGGCCAGGATGATGGCAGTATTGCTAGAGAAATGACTGTGACAGATGCCAGCACATTTCCAGGAAGTAAGTGAAAATACATGGGAAGGAGAATTCAGCCTCACTGCAACTGTACCACATAGGATAGGGGTGCTCTGTAAATTAACTATGTGTTTTTTATCTGTACAGGAGAAGAGCTGGAACTCAAGAGAGAGGAAACTGTAAGAACATACCTTTTTACTTTTATTTAGACCATTCAAATTATACTTTGATTGAAATCAGGTCAGTTGTTCTCATGTATGTCAAATTCCTGCTTCTCATATGTCTTTTTTGGTTGTTGTTTACAAACCTAGTGGGCTGCTGAAAAGTGGAAATTTCAGGAAGGCAATACACTGCAGTTTTACAACAGGCTCACCCGTGGCTTCATTTGCCTCAATCCAGATAGCAGAGTTGATGCTCTTGGTGACAAGAAAAACAAATATGGTAAAGTATTTTTCATATGGATTTATGCGTGAAAGAGAAAGGAAGACTTTATATGTGATCACAGTGAATCGTAATTAATATAGTTTGATGAATAAGTAGATAATTATAATAAACATTTCCCTTACTTTAAGTATTTACATGTGCCAATGACTATAAGAACTAGAAATTTTACACTATCACAAAAAGCACAAAAAAATCTAATAAGATGTCTCATCTCTGGCTTTCGCTTACCAAGTAGAAACTTCTTGTCACCTGCAGCTTAATGCTCCCATGGAACTGACATGACAGGGACAGCTACAGTCTTTTATAGCTAGATCTATCTAAGCTAACAAGTTCAAGCTTCCAGGTATAGTTCATTAATAGTGAGTGTATAGATAGAATTGATTCTATTCTATCCTTGTCATTGTTTTTAATGGCACTCTTCCAGTCCCTTCTCCTTATCAGCGTCCATCCTGCTGCGTTACTGACATTTAGCTATAATACATATCTTATTAGGCACACATATTTATCTTTGCAGTGATGGAGCTGCTCAGACCTTTCTGACATCTTGCTTACACACATCTTACACACATCTTTTTTGAAGTGATAGAACAGAATTTTTCAGGACACAACGAAAGAGTGCATGGAGAGTAGTGCAATCAATACTCCTTAGCATATCCTGTAAAAAATCTTAGAAAAGCTGCACCAGAAGACCAAAATCTATCGTATGAGAGATCAGTAATATTACAAGCATTAAAAGTGAATGTTACTGTGTTTTAGTAAAGCTCTTGTTAGTTAGCAGTTAGGTAGCAGATCCTTGAGTTCAAAGTACATGGTGACTCAAACACTGATTAACTCAAGTCTCTTACCTACAGCTTAGCAAGCGTTTTAAGTGACTGAAAGCAGTTGCACTGTGTGGTAGTGTCCTTCCTTCAGGGAGATGATCCATTTAGGATCACAGACTGTGAATTGCTTGGTGACAGACCAAACTATCTGCTTGTAGGAATTTGGTCTCTAATGTGCACTGATGCACCAAGCAGATCTTTGCTGATTTTTAGTGTTATATCTTCAATTGATGGTTTGTGTCTGATTTGATTTAGACAGATCATTTAGGCATCCTGGAATTCATAATATTCTAACAGACAGGATTCAAGTTCACGCTGCAGAATGAAGTCCTCTGACATAAACTATGTACCTATCTTTTGTAATAGAAAACTCTGCATTTCAGATACTGGTATGACTGCTTTTTCGTCTTCAGCAGATCTAAAGCAATTTAATTCAAAAGCCTTCAAATTTGTGATGGCAAGTTATATCAGATGATAATTTGGTGCATGTCTTTTAATTTTTCAGAAAGCTTTATCTCTATCTGAAAACAGATACTCTTTGTCACAGCTGTTTGTCCTCCGTTTTGCCCCAAGGACTAGAAGCCTCAACAGTATTTTATGATTTATGGCATCATCCTGATGAGCACAATAATCCAAGTCCTGTAATTCTTATGGTCCTAATTACGTTTTGAAAATCTGATGTTACGGACACCACAGGAGTCCTCCAGAGACAGTTGCATCTTACAAATGGGCAACATAATATACTGGTAGAACAGTTGTTTAAAAAATCAGCCATTACTATTGGGAAGAATAAAAATGACACTACTTTAGCTTTCATCAGTATTTTGTCGCTGTAAGAGGTAATTACTTGGAAAATTGGCCAGAGTTGAAATTTTAGGAGCCATGAGCTAAGCTGCAAGATTTGCTTTACAAGTTCTAATATGGATACAACGAAAATGAATTATCTTTGCCTACCTGAAAGCTTTATGTCCCCTACATGATCTGTTATTTATCATGCAGATTTATTTCTACAGCCCAGTTTATTATGCTCAGTTCCTTTTTATGATGTTTTTTTTAACATATACGCTGATCGAAAGAAATTTGTTCCTTATCTTTAGCTCACAGGATTTTTCCTCTCAAGACAATGAAGTATTCAGTAGTCTCTTGATGCTTTTTCCTGAAGGAATGAGGGGATTCGTTGGTCAGAGAGGTCAAACTGTTAAACACTTGATTAATTCTTTTCCCTTGAAAAGGATAAATCATCAATTGTAATGAAATGTAAATATGAATTAATATACTCTCATACTTCTAACATTTTTTTTTTTTTTACTTTATCCCTTAGGACTTTTTGATGTACATGTCAAAAAGAAAAATGTATGTATATTCAGGAGTCATCAGATGCCATGTCTTGCTCTTGCTCTTGTCAATGGCCATGTAATTGGAAAGGTGGGAAATGCTCTTACTAATCTCTGCTTCATAATCACATTTCATCATCTGATTAAAAATTATGCTGTTTTTATTCTAATAATCATTAGAATTTTATTCTAATAATCAGTCAGACAAAGAGCTAAGAATTGCAGAACTGAAGCCAGGAAACTGCCTATGAATAGGCAAATTTAGATGTAGGGCTTTGTCTGTTTTCTCATAGTTTACTTTTTACTCTTTGGTAGGATTTTAATAGACTAAATGATTTGATGCAGGAATACTAGACCATTCCAAACTGCAATGTATCTTGGCTCATCACATGTTAACAAGGTGCCTGGTATGACTTGCATTTTGTTGACATACTTGATGGGTGGGATGCCCTCAGGAAGGACCTGAACAAGCTTGAGAAGTGGACTCATGTGAACTTCATGAAGTTCAGCAAGGCCAAGTGCGAGGCCCTGCACATGGGTGAGGGCAGTCCTCAGTATCAACAGAAGCTATAGGGAGAAAGGATTGAAAGCAGCCCTATGGGAGAAGAGCTTGGGGGCGTTAGTGGCTGAAGAACTGGACACAAGGAGGCAATGTGCACTCACAGCTTAGAAAGGCAACCATATCCAGTGTGGCCATCAGGTCAAGGGAGGTGACTGTGCCCCTCGACTCCACTCTGCTCTGGTGAGATCCCACCTGCAGTTCTGTGTCCAATTTTGGAGTCCTCAACACAAGACAGATATGGACCTGTTTGAGCACATCCAAAAGAGCACTACAAAGATCATCAGTGAGTTGAAACACCTATCCTATGAGGAAAGGTGAGGAGAGTATTGGAGTTGTTCAGTCAAGAGGAAGCTCCAGGGAGACCTTATAGCAGTCTTTTAATACTTAAAGGGGGCTTATAAGGAAGATGAGGACATTTTAGTACGGCCTGTTGCAACAGGACAAGAGGTAATGCTCTTAAACTAAAAGAGGGTAGATTTAGATTTAAGGCAGAAATTTTTTATAGTGAGAGTGGTGAAAGACTGAAACATGTTGCCCAGAGAAGTGGTAGAAGCCCCATTCCTGAAAACATTCAAGTTCAGGTTGAATGAGCCTCTGAGCAACCTGATCTAGTTTAAGATGTCCCTGCTCACTGCAGGTGGGTTCAACTTGATGGCCTTTAAAGGTCCCTTCTGTTCCAAAAGATTCCATGATTCCATGTTTTCGTGTTTTTGGATTAGTGTAAATTTGGAGAATTGACTTTTAAATGCCCATTTTTCCTTTGTGTCTTTTTCTAAGTAACATGCATGTCATAAGTCAATTGAAATATTCCAGATTTGTTTTGATCCATTTTGATTTGTTTCATCGCACCATCAAAGTCTTTCTATTGCCTTTCTAGACGCTTGCAGTATACAAATAAGGCAAATGGACTTGTAGAACTATATTTCTGATGAAGCTCTTCTACTGATGAGGGAAAAAGTTGTTTCCCTTTCACTTTTTCAAGTTCTTCCCCTTATTTATCCAGTGAATAATTTCATAGTCAAGGCTAGTCCTATTTCTCTTTTATATGATGTTCATTGACATTAATGGGAGTAGGTTTCATTGGCATTACTGAGAGTTAGGTTTCTTAATGGGATAGTGTCAGGCTGCCATGTGAACTGTCAGACCTCTTTGCTGGACTTCCTAGTGTTCATGTTCATTATTGTAATTCTGATGCAGAGCACCCATTGCAATCTGTCACATTGCAGTATTTCTTGCAATGGGCGGGTTATTAAATGGATACTTAAATTTGAACTTTCCTTTTCTGCTTTGCCACTGACATGCTTTACAAGTTTGAGCAACCTACAGAAAATCTGTATCTCAATTTTCTTAATTTTAGTTGTGCAAGATGTTATTTTTTTTCCCAGGGACCGTGAAACCCACTGTCATTTAAAATAGTTTGGAATGAAGATAGATAAATGTAAACAAAAATGGCAATAAAAAAATTGCAATTTCCCTTATGATATATACTTAGTTATACTTTGAGAGCACGCTGGCCCATCTCTTTCACAATGACTTCTAAAACCCATCCAATTTTTCCTTTACTTCTAGAACTACATTAAATTTTATAGATAGCTTTTTGGAATATGAAGCCTTTACTTCAGAAGGTAGTGCCTTGGAAATTTCCCTAGAAATATTGGTTCTTTGAGTCTTAAAGATGCTGAAAAGATGATGTGAGCCAGAAATATTTTAAATTATTGGGCTGATTATTACCGTTTTACTTTTAATAAAATCCTAGTTTTATTTAAATGTGAGAGTGATGATGGAGTTGATAAAATATTTAAGTATGTATTTTGTAGATTTTGTCTTTTATACAGCAGGTTCACACAGCCTGCAGACCTGAACAGGCAAGCATGGATAATGTATTGCTGTACTCTTTCATGTAAAACTTCTGACTTAAGTGTTTTCTGTATTGAGAACTTTTATGGAGAACAGTGTAAGTAAATGAGGAGAAGCACTGAGGCAAATGAAAGAGGGCTGGTGGCAGAGTTGCTGTAGTTCATTCCTTGTCCATGTCAATTTTATATTCCGACCTTCTTTGCTATGTTTGCAGGCTGAGAATCTAACTCTCTCAGACAGAGGCACACAAGTATCTTTCATGTGGTCCTCAGATCTGTTTCATCTTAAATTGAACTTTCTGTGCTATCAAATTCTAGAGTCCACAGTTTTAGGGCTTTGGTATCAGGACTGCAAATCTGAAAAATACAAAGATGTTTCTATATTAGACAGGCAGTATTGTGGAAACTTGAACAACAGAGAAATTATATACCCTGTTCTGGATTTTGTACCATAGTAGTTGATGTAATTTATTATATTTTTTTATTCCTATTTTGACTTTATTAGAGCAAAGATAAGACTTGCTGTGAGCTCTGTGTTTACCTTCAACCAAATGGTTGTGTCGTTCTCGAATCAGCTGAGAACCCAGGTCACACTGTTATGTTCGATCTTCAAGGCAAAGTGCCTGATGAAACAACAGGATATGCTGGAGTTTCCAAGGAATTTGTTGTGCACGTCAAGGTAAGGTGAGCAGAGAGAAATTAACAAGGCTTTTCTAAGATTTGTTGCCAGAAAGCCGATTGTATCTAGAGGATTGCAATCTGGAAGATTGATCCTTTCCCACCAGGTGGAGCTAAACTACAGTTTAACGGCTAGGAGGCGCTTGACAGGTTTTCCTTCACAGCTCTCCCGGGGAGAGTGATGCCCATGCTGCAGCTGGTGTATGCAGTAGGGTGGGCTGTTTACACAGGAAAGATGCATCCTTAAACTTTTTAGTAAACCTTCGGAAAGAAGGAAGGTAGGTACATATGGGATAGCTGCATCGGAAATTAATTATTTTCAAAAGGGAACAAGTTCCCTAACTTGGCACATTCCCTGTGCTCTGAATGCTGTGCTTCATCTCTGAACAAGAAAAAGCAAGGGAGCTGTGGAGGAGGGAAGGATTTTTACCGTTCAACTTAGTGTCTGCACAGAAAGCAGCAAACATTTAAAGGCTGGAGGTATAGTTTAATTACTTGGGACTTATTAATACATTTCCATGTGTAAAATGTAAATGAAAAAGTGCTTAAGATACATTGGTATGAACAATATAAATATCAAAGTTTACCGTGGAGAAAAGCTGTGCTGTTCACAAAGGACTTCTTGTCTGTGGTCTGAAGGGTGTGTTTCGCCATGGTGCCATCATTCTGCTCAACACAAGTCTATGCCAGGCTCTGTCCCTTAGACCTGATGGGAGCTGCAGTGGAGCAGGTCAGCAGCGGCAGGATTCCTATTGGAAAGTGCACAAAATCAGCTCTGGAGTCTGTATGTTTGAAAGCGTGAGAAACCCAAGAACATATTTGAAGATCGAAGACGACCAGTGTAATGGAACAGTAAGACGTTCTTGTTTGTATTTCTCTCTGCAGATAGTTTGAGTAAATTGTCAGTGATAGCAGAGAATAGTTTTGCTTGCTTGGATAAAAATGGGATAAAATGTTATCAAAGTTCACATTTTTTTCAGATCTTTTCCTTTGTTTGCCTAAGATATAAAAATATAAGAAGACAAGTTGTCATGCCTATTTGGCACTTAGTTGTAAAGATTTTGTTTTATTTTTAAACTATTGAGAGTTTGGATGCAGTTAAAATTTGTTACTAGATAAGTGATAACTCTCAAGATTCTGTTGTGCTAATTTGTTTTTTATTAAACAACCACAGTTATACCTGTGTGAGTTTGGAAGATGATAATGTTGGCATCCTACCTCTTGCAAATGATTGTTTTGTCTGAAAGACAAAAGAACCATCTTTTTTTTCTTTTTTTTTAATTCATCAGGCAACTGCATAGAGTTTACTCTTGAAATACCTCAACTGTAGCCTGTATATTTGTAGTAAGACTAGGCTTGGGGGAATAGCTGAAATATTTTGATTTTTGGACCTATAATATTCTCTGCCTGCTAGGATTTTAACTATTGAAGTTTAACATTTGAGAGCAAAAAACAGAATAGGAAACTAGTATTTGCTCATTAATGTTTACTAATCCTGTGTCTATTTGCTGATATGAACTGATAAAATCATACTGAATGTGTCAGAGCACAAACATGTTCAGGAGTTTAAAGAAGTATTGAGTCAAAGTAAATTAATGATAAAACCCACTAATGAATAGTTAAGAAGTAAGCTGATTAAGTGTGAAACTCATTTGAACATATCCTAGATTTTGGCTAAATCCTAAAAGAAATCAGAATGTGTTCATATGCCATCTTTCACTTACTCAGATTGTCTTTCTGTTTACAAAGGAATAAGCAAGGCCAAGATATGTGTGTATATATATATATATGTGTGCGTGTAAATGTAGGATGTTGTGAAGAACCTGAAGTTAATCTGTGATGTTATTAGAAGTTAGTAATATTAAAGTCTTAAGAAATATCTATTTTGCTTAGCTGCATCAATTCAGTTGTGGAATTCATGTTTCTGTTTTTGATTTTCTAGGGCACTGGTGATGAGTACTGTCACTTTAAAATTGAAAAGAATTTGGAAACTGGATCTGTAAGTCTAGAATCAGTGCAAAATAAAGGGATATATGTTGGTCTTCTGCCGGATGGCCAAACTAAGCCAGTCATTAACACTGGAGAGAGAAACATCTTTTTCTACCCACAGGTCATCAAATGTATGTAATTTCTTAATATTTGAGTTTGCTTTAGTGATTAGTATTTCCAAACAACAAATTCAAAGCAAAATTGTGAAAGCTAGATTGATAACATTTTCTTTGTTGTGCTTCAGTAATTTGAAAGGTGAAAAGTTTATTGTGCCTCCACTTGATTTCTAGCTAGTTAATTTTTTCCATTTCTTTTTATAATAAGAAATGATGCAGAAGAATCTATTATTTTACTGAACACAAATTTTTGAGCATAAGAATTGAAAAAAGGTGACAAGTTGGAGATGGAGTTGACTTCTTGGGTCTATTCCCCAATCTAGCCACAGATTATGGAAGCCTGGGAGCTATATGTTTCTATAGATTGCTGTCAGCTATACCACAGTCTTTCCTGATTTTATAGGGAAAGTAGTAGACTTGAGAGAGGGCCTGCTTGACAGTGTTCAGTTCCTTTTTTAATGGTACTAGTACATTGGTTATGTGATTCTACTGTCTCATGGTCAGATTTAAGAGCTATTGCAGTCAGAGAGCTCCCTCACTAGGGAACTGACCTGTTCTAATCAACCAGCCAGGACTTGGATATTAGCTCACAGTACATTCTGCATCACTGTCACTGGATTGTCTACTTATCCCTTCTCCAAGAGCATGAAGTTTTTAGCTGGAACAACTGGCCACCAAGCTTAGCTATCTGACTTGGATCGTAACTGCAGGAAACAGTGGAATTACAGTACTTGTGTTCTTATCTGGTGGACATAGCTATAGAGATCAAGAAATGAAATATCTCATGAAATGCTTAACTGGTGTTCAGTCCACAGCTGAGAATTTGGTCAGATTTTTGCCAGACACAAGAAGAACAGGTTCATCTTGAATGCTCTGACCAGCAATGGGAAAGTACAAACCCAGTCTTATTATGAATTGCACTAGGTATATTGTGACCGAGACACAAACATCAAGAAAGACACTGCAATCGCATCCCTACTGCTTACTACCTACTTGCTATAAAAGGACAAAAATATTTTGGTCAGTGTGTCCTTGTAGAAATGACAAAGGTATTTTCCTTTGTTACTTTCTGGAAGAGCAGCATTTTCAATGACAATTTTCAACAGTGACTTACTGATGCCATTAAAATAAAGCTAAATGTTACTTTGTTACAGGCTTGAGTTCTCCTGAATCCTTGTTCCTCAGTAAAAGGAAGATAAAAGGAGCTAATATTTTCCATGAGAGCAACCAAGATTGTCTGTTTGCCACTTCATATTATCAGAAATGGCATATAGCAGTTTTCATTTCAGCATTCACACTCTTTGAGAAAGGAAACATCAGGGGGGTGGGGAAGCATATCTTGGAGAAAACTACGTTGTAACAAGTAATTTTATTCATATTTCAATGTTAAATTGTTACTTAGATTTTCAAAGCAGTAAATGGACTTTTATTGGTATGGCAGATCTTTTCCATTTTTTGTGGCATGCTGCTAACAATAAAAGCTAATAATAGCTAGTGACTGTGAAATACATAGAGAAAAAAAAATTGGTGTTCACTGTGTTGAACAATTGTGAGATCTGTTATAAGTGTTTGTCACTGAACATATGGGAAACTTCTGAGATTAAAAAAAAGGCAAACTATTTGTAGCAAGTGACAGAGTTTACATATTGTTTTAGTTGGCCGGAAAGAGCCTATGGGAACATCTGCAGCACCCAGTCAAGAGAAGAAAGACTTCAGAGAATCTCAACTCCAACCAGCAAAAGCCCAGAAGCCAGTATCTCAAAGCTTTCCAACTCTTCCACCCTCAAGTAAGCAACAGTTTACAAACTAATTTTGATACAACATTGTGTTGTGTGTGTCTCTGTGTGCATCTGCAGTGGCTTACCTCAAGAAGTACAATGAATGGCTTTTCTAGACTATTGACTTCTGTGTGCAACATAAAACACGTTACAGGTTGTTTTGGTTTTTTTTTAAAGAACATTGGAATGTGCTTTATTTATAATGCAACAATCAACATGTAACTTTTGAATAACTTCACATTACCTTTTCTTTTTAAAGTAAGTAGCATTTATCATAAGCACTAATTCTGTGGAAATTGATTGATTGAATCCAAATGTCACTGAAAGCAATGGAATATTTCTCATTTATGTTCTCTCTCACACATGTTTTCTCCTTTGATTCACTGGATGTAAGAGTAATGTTTTGGTACATTGCATGTTAGCTTTATTACCTATGTTTATGCAGGTAGGAAAAGATAAACAATGCTCTGATCATGCTTCTGGAGTGATACACTACCAGACATGTTTTACTAGAATGAACAATTACTTTCTTCTTAGCTAAAGAAGTCGCACAAATTGTCTAAGACAACTCAGAAGTTTTACCAGAATATTCGGCATCCTAGTAACCAAAGAGGGTGCAATTAAGGAACTTAAAAAAAACAGCAAAAAGGGAAATGAAACATCTCTCGAGGAGTGGGGATGATCATCTTTGCTTCCTGCCACTCTTGTATTTCTGTGCACCCAAGGGCCCCGTCTGCACAGCCTGAACTATGTCACATCACCATGAAAAGCAAATGGGATAAATGGAAACTACTGAGCTCCATATGGCACACTGAGGCACATTCACATGGTGGAAAAAGATCTGTGTTGAGGGATAGGGATGGGCTGGCCACTAAATGCTGACAGATGCTCTCTAACCCCTCTCCCTTCCCAAAATAGTAATGGAAATGGAATAAGGCAGACAGATTTACAGACTGGAAAGGAAAACTAAACCAGCTTGAATAAAACAATAATAGTACTAATAACAAAATAATAAAAATAATTAACTATATACAAATATGTACAAATTGAACTACTGAACCTGAGTCCTTCCTCATAGCAATCCCCACTGATGCTGCAAAGCAGGTGGCACTGGGGAAGTCCTAGGCTCAGCGGCAGAGGGGACACAAAAGCTGGGAACTCAGACTTGGGATCAAAGGCAGAAGAATGGACCAAGTCCTTCTTGGATACTGGCCATTGAAGAAGAAGCCTTAACTCCTGTGATCCATCAGTTTTATGTTGAATATGATGTATATGGAATGAAATACTCTTGTTGGTCACCTCTCCTGCCAGTTACTCATCAAAGGTGCAACCTTTTACTTTCTTGTGACCCCTTTTACTTATAGCACCCCCAGCGTGGCACACAAGAGCCAACAGTGACCTTGGTCACTACAGGAGCAAGTATAAGCAAGAGCCTTTCTGCATCCTAATCCCTGGCAGTAACTGTGAACATTATGTGTTATCATTTCTAGTATCAGATACTGTCTGCAAAAACATGCTGCTAACTTCAGAAAAGTCAGCCTCTTAGAAGAGACTGAGCTGAAAATTAAAATTACCGAACAAAATTGGTTCCATCTAAATCAAAGCAGGACAATCTGTTATGTTGAATGAGCTTTAAAGACGATTGTATTAGAGCTTCCACTATGAGAGATGTATTTAGTTGACAAGAGGTGGTCCTGAAGGCATTCAAGTAGCATATAATTCCAGTGGGTTGCTGATTTGGTTTTGAGCTTGGTTCTCAGACTGTTATTTCAAAGTGTATGTAAGTCTGGCAACCTGAACAAGGCATCCCACATGACAAACATTTGTAGTGTATAATGTGAAGAATCAGGAAGGATTTTTAATAAATTCAGTTGAACCAAAGTTTCCTAGTTTAATTCAAAATATAGGTGTGGAGTGTTTTTAATTACAGTTAATTTTTTCCAGCAATGTTGTTTCCATTTTTAGCTCAGAATACCCACTTTCTGTTTCTAATCTGTCAGAACTTCATGTCCTACTATTGTGTCACAAAGTCTTCCCAAAGTGTTGTGAGTTGTCAGCAACTGGTGAGATATGTTGTATTTGAAAGCCACGGCAACAGTACACAAGCCATCAAACCTGTTTTCAAAGAATCTGGATGTTTTTAGGATTTGATACAAAGGATCCTTTTATAGAAGCAATATCTGCCGTGAAATTGGTTGCACAGAGTCTATAGCCTTTTGTAAGAAGTATTTCTGATATTCATAAATGTGGACTCTTCTTATAGAAAATGAATAGAAATATCAAAGTTACTCTGACCTTCTGAAAATGCTCATTTTTAAAAGATATTTTCACTTAGAACACTTTAAAGGTAACTGACTTTTGACATGCAGAGGTAAGCTTTAACTTTTAAACTGGTATTCATCAAGCGTGCATCTGCTTTTTTTTTCATTCCCAATCATCATTAGAAAAAGATGATATTTGCACTGAGTATACAAACCAATGCTATGTTTATCTTCTAAACTCAGAGTGAATTAAGCCTTAGGCTGACCAGCTCATCTTTTTTATATCTGTGTCTGCTGACTGATACTAGTCTTTTGGTGATTGTTTTCACAAATAATAATTACTTTAAGACTAATTAAACTGAAAACTGTGCTGCAGCAGTTGGGGCTTCTCTTGTTGCAGTGTGAGTTCCCTGTTTCTCAAGAAACTTCTTTCACTGTACAGGGATGATGGCAGGTCCTAGTTTCTACTTGAACATCTTACAGGATGGAGAAATTTGAGTGTCAGGGACAAGTCAGCTAAAATGCATGCAAGGCACCACATTATAGATTCAAGACCGATCAAATGTGCTACCCGAAACAGAAGGGATAAAAATATATGGTTAGAGGACCGCAAGGGGAGAGGGATAAAGGAGATGAAGCAGAAGACACTAAAAACTTAAGGCAAAAATTGTGGATTTTTTGAAAACTCATTTTTTACTCTTTTGCTATCAGCTGCAAAAGCAAGGTGAAATCAGCAGCCCTGCTGGAAATGCAAATTTGTGTCATATTAAGTATCAACTAGGGAGCATACAAAAATCTTCTGGGATTTCACAAATGACTTAGTACTGGGGTTTTCCTCTCTGTTTATTCCTTGTATTTCTCAAACCAAGTTTAAATTTCAGTGGTGAGAACATGCTTGTGTGTGCTAGTGAAAGTGGGGGAGAGATGTCATTAGCTTCCATGACACAAACACAGCCTTTGATGTTGAGAAAATCTTCGTGATTTGGTATTAGCAAACTGTGTCTCTGAGAAATGGTCTCCATAGCCTCCACATTACTTTTCTGTATGTCTGGAATACTGTTAGTTACCCTTAATTTTGAATATATTTTACTTACAAGAGAAAATAAGATACAAATAAAATCTGATCTTGTTTCCTTTTGCTTTGCACTGGAAACAAAAATACAAAAAGATGTAGTAAAAATATATCAACTTTATTGTTTCAACTTCTGCTCTAAAGATTAATTTTTCTGATGGTTATTTCAAAAGTGTCACTCAATCATATGGTCTCCTGGGACAAGATAATTTTCTTTTTGCTTTACATTTAGGATAAGTAAATAAAAACATAGAATTACTTCTGTGAAACTGTGTGAAAGATTGTGACTTCATCATTTTTGTGAAGGGCTATCAGAACGAATCTTTTGTCGCAATAAATTTACAGCATGGTATCATGAAGTGTGTAAACCGCCACGACTAATACAGGGTAACCATCAAATCCTGTTCTCAGACTGGAATATTTGTAGCCTGTAGCAAATCAATGCCTCTGATTTCCATTTGTAAGATGAGCCAGTAATTTATGAGGCAAAGAGCATTCCAAGCCTGTGAATTGTTTGTGTATTACAACAGTTTTTGAGAGGTAGGAGATTGAGGTTGCAGTAGCTTGAGCAGCAATAACCTGAGAGTGAAGTTCTTGTGCTAAACATATGAAGTAGCCTGGGATTCCTTATGCTTCTTGAACACCTGTGCCTTTCATGAAAATTTTCATCTTTTTGCTGAAAGAAAGATGTAGGTTTAGATAGCTGGAAGGAACTCTGTCTTTCATAGGTGAGGAGCTATGTCACTACTATTACAAGAAGTTATACAATGAAGTTCTCAAGAATATTTATTATACTGAAGCAACAAGTTTGCTATAGTTCTCTTTTTTCAGTCACTAAAAGACAAGCGCAATTAAGTTTTTGTTCAGAGAAATGTAACATGTTTGCTTTTTGATTTATTTGGATTTTTATATGTGGATTTTCTGTTTTCTTTCAGAATAACTTGCTCTCAGTCATGATGAAGAATACAATAAAAAGTGATTATTATGACATTATTGCCTATTTCTAAATTACTATAGCTATTCCAAAGTCATGCTACTACTGTTAGAAGCACTATTGTAGAAATCATGCTACTACAGTTCTGAGTCTCTCGAAAGCAGATTAACCAAATTTTAGACTCTTTACCAGGACTGAATTCCACCGATTCCAGATTTTAGTACCGATTTATTATAGAACTTTGTACTGGATGTTAATTTCTTTGCAATTCCTTGTGCCATTATTTTGCTTCAGTTGAGTTCAGTGCTAGTGGGTCAAAATTCAAGTTTGGTGCTTTAGTTACCATGTTGATTTAAACTGTAAAAGTAACCCAATGATCCCAGCAACTATGTAATTCCTTTTGAGTAAAACTTTTAAGAGAAAAAAGTTTTATTTGATATCATAAAAGTGACATTTGAGGAAACTCCAAGGGAAGATCATGATCCTCGAATTGATCCTTTTTCACTTATCTATTTTGTTTCAGCAACGTTTAGGCAGGGTATGGAATTTGTTGCTTAAAGGAGTTTGTTAAGAAGCAAGTCTCAAGGATTCAAAACTAATTTTCACTTTGCCTTTGACCTTGTATTTTAATGCTAGCAACAAAACAGATAAATTTTATCAATTTTTGTCATGTGCGTTGCATTATTTCGTTTAGTATTTGTACTGAGCTTGCCTGGGAGGGACTTAATTTTGTTCATTGCGGTCTGTCTGCTGCTGTGCTTCAGCCCGGTGCTCAAAGCAGCGCTGATAACACCCAGTGTTTCAGCTCTTGCTGAGCAGTGCTTGCCCGACTCTGAGTCCGTCTCTGTTTCTCCCTCTGCTCTCCCAGTGAGTAGATGGGGGGACACACACACACAGAGCCAGGACAGCTGACCCCAACTGACCAGAGATACGCCACACCATAAGTTGTTATACTTAGAAATCAAACTGGAGAGGATTTTTTCCAAAGCAGTAACTCCTTGTGGACTAGCTGGGCATCATTCTGCTGGTAGTGAGAGACTCTTTTGCACCAGTTGTCTTTCTGTTTGATTTGGTTTATTTGTATTTTTAGATTGTGGTGGGGTTTTTATTTTTATTTTTTTCCCTGTTGAGGTAAAGGCAGTTTAATATGTAAAGGGAAAAACTCTATCCTAGAAAAGCCCAGTACGGTGTTTTAATCAAACAAATAAAAAGGCAAAAGGCTCTAATAGAGCAATATGTAATGCAACTGGAACATACACAGTGATGCAATGGGAATTCTTCACAAATCTGTATTGGGGGCTATTTAAGAATTCTGCAAATTGTAAGTGAATTTCATTACATGTTTGGAGACTCTGGCATCCAAAATCTTCGTTCATAGAAAGCTACTTAATGGATGAAGAATGAGCTGGGGGATACAAAAGAAAATTAATCTGCAGCACAGATTAAGTTCATTACGGTTAGCATATTAAAAAGTCTCTTTACAGTCACATGAGAAGGCCTGACAAAGAGCAGTTCAGGAACCCCTGCAGAGCACAGTATATAGACACTCCATTGGTTCATCTTTTCAAATTTAGGGTTTATATCTGCCTTGTGTCAGAACAGAGTATAAATTCCTGGGGGCGAGGATTCCCCCTTTTGGGAAAAACTTCATGGTCAGTGATCCTATTGTTGAAACATCGTGTTCCAGACAACTGATATTTGTAAACCCCATTTTGATTAGAATATTCAAAATTAAATTTCTTTGTCCCAGGAGAGTATTTTTTTCATATCCCAGAAGTGCTGTTTGATGTCTTTGTGTGTATATATATATACATACATATATGTCTTAAAGGTAAATGAAAAATCACTAGGTGCTATTCTGAAGTGAAGTATGTTTTCCAAAATTATATTTGCTCAACTCTTGAAGCTGTGAAATTCAAGAAGTGGTGCTGTTACGCTATTGTCTTATTCACACAGGTCTGCCTTAGCCCAAATGCCAGCACTGTGTGCCTAAGTATGGTTAGGCAAGGATTCAAGGATTTGTGCTTTTTTTGGAGTATTTTACAATACTTAACTAATATTTAACTCAAAGTTCATTTCCTGAATACTTTTTCTTTTTTTTTCATTTGAAATGCAAATGTCTTTCTCAAATGTGATTCTGCTAATAGTGTCTCAACACAAGGCATTAGAGGCGCATTTACAAGTAATTCTACTCATTTCTAAATGTCAGACTGAGGAACCAGAAATGTTGATTTAATGGCCACAGGTGTGCATCATAACATCCTTACTCTACACCAGAATATGTACAAAGAATATGATGATAGGCTCAACTAATCAGTACATTTTGGTCCAGACAGGAAACATAAATCAATCTGTTCAGACTATCTCACAGTGAAAAAATACAATCTCTCCCTCTGTTATGGACTCCTTATGTGCTGAAGTTACAACAGCGACTGGCAGTTTCATGTCGATTTTCATCTCCCACTAATGTTCTGTATTTCACAGAGGAAATGAGAAATGCCCAAGGTGGTGAGTGTCCCCTTCCTTCAGATGATGAATGGAAGGTGTCAATGCTGACAGGAAATGCAGGAACTGAAGCAAATGTTGTTCTCTGGATATATGGAGACAGAGGAGTCGCTGGACCAATAATTCTTAACAAGGACAACAGAAAGCAGCTGTTTCTTCCCAGGCAGGAGGATGAGTTTCAGGTAGTTAATGAAGCCTAAGAACATTATTTTAATGTGTACCTTTCCAGAGATTATTCTGTCATAGGAGAAAAACATTTTTTCTTTTCATATGTTTACTGCATACAATAAATCTCCATCTAATCTCTGAATTCTGCATTAAATCTTCTTGGTGCGTATAGTTAACAGGAGGGGAAATGCTCTTTCTTTTAACCCTCTCTCCCCTGTATCGTAGCCCAAATTGCACAACTACATGAATAAATAAATAAATAATCCATGTCTGATGTAAGGTGTGTATATCATTTAGGGACATTTAGTGATGAAATCTTCATGTATACAGTTTTCAAAGCTTGATATGAAATGTATACTATAGAACTAGTTCAGTTAAAGAAGAAAACCTTTTTTACAGCTGCCATATTGTAAATAGCTGAAATCCCAGAAACTTTGCCTATGGAATTCCTAGAAGTCAAATAAAAACCTATGTGTTATCATATAATGAAAATATGGAATGCTGCTATTATTTAAGCATAACCCCACCTCTGTCTTAGTATGGAAATTACATCTAGGTAGGCTGAGAGAAAATTACTGAAGGGACTAAAACTTGTTTTCCTTAAATCTTTCTGTACGAGATGCATGTAGCACATTGCTCTCTTCAGCTAACTGAAGTTATATTTTTCACATTTTGTAATTTTTTTTTCTGAACTCGTGAATTCTTATAATAAAATCTTGGCACAAACCAAGATTGTTACTGTCAGTAATATTAATAATAATACTCTCTATAAATAGGGCATAAAAAGGAAGATAACCAACTATAATGTTCATTTTCTAAGCATGTAGGCTATATATTATGATCCACAGGGAAGCCTGTCCTCCTAATTAGTGAATAATTTATAAGCAAAATTGGATAATGGCATGTTTGCAGTGTTAATCCATACATTCCTAAGAGATAGACCAATTTTTCTTCTCTAAAAGAGATATTGTCCATTATGGTTGCATGCTGTGGATATTGATCTTGTGAGAGAGCAGAATCTTCCTCTCAGCACTTGGGGCTACTACTATGATTCTTTACGTCATGCTGACACTGTTGCTTTCAGGCATGAAACAGCAAATGTCACCAAAGTGCTTTTAACTCCTTAGTCTAGAGTAGATAAATTTGCAAAGAAAAAGCCTATGCGTAGGATCTCTTTTTTCTTTTTTTCCCTTTAAACTTTATTCTGTATTTGTTTATCAGAGTGAGTCTTGAAATAAGGATAGGAATTCAAGACTTAAAAAAAAAAACCAATATCCTCTTTTTATAATTTACATCTTAGATCTTGATATGGCTTCACTGGTATTTTCTAGGTAAGAAGATTTTGTTTTTTAAAGTAATCAACTTAATCATAGCTCTCACTAGGACTTCTAGGAAAAGAACAGCTTCTGAAAGCCTGTAATATTCAGACAATTTGGAGTCAGATTTCTGTAACCATTTATTTTATCATCCGTATGCACATCTATGAAAAATTCAAGTAGAGCTATCTTGAGAAATGAAACTCCTTCATATATGGCCTTCCCTCTGTTACTTTACCCATGTGAGTAGTCATTGTCTAATACTGTGCATGAGAAAAATCAAGAAAGATACCAGAGGTTTTCTTCTAGAAGATTTCTGTTTTGCATGGAAGTCACTCTTTGTGTTCTGACAAAGTTCAGTGTGTTTATGTTTTGTACTGATACCTGAAATGATAATGTAATTTTTTTGTTTTAACTAAAAACCTAAAGAGGGACTTGTTAAAGTAAATAGACAACATGGCAGCACTGCACATTCAGCAAACACAAGCTCTGTGAATGAGAAGACTTTATCTCATATTACTTGAAGTGGGTTAGTTTGCTTGTGCAGTGTGGAAAGTTACAACGGTTGTTTTTTTTCAGTCAAGCTCCGTATGTGCACTTGCTGCTTAATCAGCATGCAGCCTCTACCACACAAGTTTAAAGTCTAAGTTATATGTATTTTTGTTGGTAGTGATATATTATATTCTTTTGGCTTTGTTCAGGTTAAAATAACAAATGTTGGGAATATCTACAAGATAAGAATTGAATTTGATCAATCACTGAGTGGACAATCAGAGTGGAACTTGCAAAGGGTGAGATTTTTCCTGGCGATTTTTTTTTCTGCTTTAAAAATTTTTATATGAACTAAAAGCCCATCTTTTCATGAAGCCACAGCTTCATAAATAAAAAAATATTGGTTGTGATATGTTCTTATTCCTTTGTCTTCTTGCTTTAGAAATGACAAAAGAACTGATACAGTCCATCTCCTGAGAGGTGGAAATATATAGCATTGTTTGTCAGTTCTTACTTATTCGTGTAGTTTGTAAGTATCAATTTTTGTGTATTGATGGGTTGTATGAAGTTTTGCTCTGAAAGCTTGCTTGTGCTCTTCAGTGTGTGTTGAGGTAATTCTAGCTATCTATTCCAGGTATGAAAAATTAGAAATGATGAAGCAACAATTATGCCATCACAAGTACACGCATTGAATGAGCAGTTTGCTTGAGAGTAGGCTAATCCTAATAGGCTCAAAAAATTGTGACTATTTTCAGCGAAAATGAAAGTGCTAATTTTTTACAATTTGGTGGAAGACTTATTTTCTGCTTCTGTTTTTACTCTATTTTTCTAATGATATTTAGAGTTGTTCACTAGATTAATTTCTTGCTAACACTGACCCACATGCAAGATTTATTTCAGAATTGCACATAAGCATTTGTTTTCTGCTTCTTATTTTGAATCTGTAAAAGACACAAGCTTATCCTTTGGCCTTTAATTCATTTGTAAAAAGCCTGGTTTAGACAACTTACCTGTACAAAAACTGGCCATAAGTATAAAAGCTTTAGTTGTTCAGATGGCTGTAGGAATCTTACTTTCCATCCTAATGGTTAAAAAGTATTTTTTTAACATTTTGGTCCAAATTTTTTAGGATAACCCTGGGATTTCAAATATTTCTTTTCACAGAAAGAAATAAATCAGTTCAAAAGCTGCATTTTTCTGACAAAGCAGTTAATATTTACAATTGGTATAAATCAGCAGGGGGAGCTCTACCAATAAACATTAGGAATAGAATCACTACTGCAAAAATATTTAGTATTAGAATTAATACACACTGCAGTGCTAAAAGAAGTGTATATTTTACATAAGATAGTTATTTTACCGGAGAAATGAAATTAAGGCACATATTCTCCAGATATTCTAAGTGTGAACATTTGAATGTGAATACTTATTTTCATAATTTTGTTTGTAAAGCTTGTGCATACTACATGCACATTCAAAACAAAACTACAGAAAAATAATTTTTTTGCACTTATTTCCTTTTTCTAGTGAAGGCCTGAAAAAGAAGCTGTAGTAAGCATTGTTATAATTCAGGAACAAGAAAAACTGCTCTCGTGAATCAAAGAATGTTAGGAGTTGGAAGGGGTCTCAAATGATCATCTAGTCCAGCCCCCCTGCCAGAGCAGGATCACCTACAGTAGGTCACACAGGAACACATCCAGGCGGGTTTTGAATGTCTTCAGAGAAGGAGACTCCACAACCTCCCTGGGCAGCCTGTGCCAGTGCTCTGTCACCCTCACAGTGAAAAAGTTTTTTCTAATATTTTTGTGGAACCTCCTGTGTTCCAGCTTGTACCCATTGCCCCTTGTCCTGTCATTGGACATCACTGAAAAGAGCCTGGCTCTGTCCTCCTGACACTCCCCCTTGACATATTTATAAACATTTATAAACATTTATAAATGGGCCGATTAACTCAGTGGATTGAGTGCGTGCTGATAACACTGAGATCAGGGATTCGATTCCTATTCAGTCTGCATGTGTTGCCTGATCTAGTC